AGTGTCCCTGGTAGCTGAGATCTGCTATGGTGAAGACTTTTGTCCACCACTCTATATTGTAAAGAAAGGTTTCTCGTCTTCCAATTGGGAATATGAAAATTCCACACGTTTGTCTCTCGAAACGGGACCAAAAAATGCAGGAACTCGTGAATGCGGATGTAAGTATGGAGACAGATATGTGTCTTGGCTGTGCGTGGGTACCTAGAAGATCCGCATTCACACATTTTTGAAGTCTAAGCGATCAAAATTGAATTAGATATTGACGAAATATTGAGACTGCTATTTAATTTGAACTACCCAAAGTATGTTAAAATCGTACACGACATCGTTATGATCAATTGTTCAAATTAGGTTCGCACCTATCTTTGTGATCTTTTTGTGTTCGACAACAAATCTGGCATAATCGTAAGTTGCAGCATGCTCAAAGGCGGTACAACGTTCCGTAAACCTTGAATCAATTGGAATCATCTCTATAATTTATGAAAGTATCATTTCGTACAAAGTTTCAAGCAAAAACGAAACTAACTGAAAGTTCCCGATAGGTTATATTTGCCCACTGGCGCTTCTTTCTGTCGATCGAAACATTGTTTCACTCGATGCAATACTTGCCGCATGATCAGAATGACATAAGAGATGAGAATGATTGGAGATGCGGCCAGAAAAGGTTTTTCAAAATATTCTTGAATGATATTGTATCGCTGATAACGCCAGAAATACTTGGTATTATTTTCTACCTTGTTTATTGTTGTACTAAATACAGACATGACATGAATTTGTTTGTCATCATTCATCAACTCAATCAACGTACGTGAATACGGCTATAAGAAGATTGAGAAGAAGAATGTTGATGAATAGCATGTGGAATGCAAGTAATATATGAGTCGCAGTTGCTGCAGTGGTTAGATCAGAACTACTATTGTTAGCAATGATTTCTACAAAAAAAAGAACAGATCGATTTTCATCGACTTTTAATGATCTCACCGTCGAGTGCTTTTTTTTCGTCGCTGACATCGGCATATAGAAACCAATAGGGCGCATAGAATATATTCGCAAAAATACTTTGAGCAGTGAATTGTACATCACCATGTTTCGTCATGGCTCGAGATACCACACCATATGCTGCGATGCATATAAAAGCCACGTATACGAAGCTGAGCAAGTCACGAAGCTATTCAAAAAGCACTTTTTTACTACCTTGATATTACACGCATTATTATGCATTTTCTCTCAGTAATAATATTCACAATAATATTTACAAAAGTATACCCAACAAATAATTCATTTTTCCTATGACTTTATGGATTAGATAAGTGTTCGAATTTCAGATTTCTGATTGTCAGAAAGGAAATGTGTCAAATATGCACACAATAGCATGTATAACCATCAACCTATGTTCGACATCTTTGTCAACTTATGTCTCACTTCGAAGATACAGAAAAAATCTTGAGCGATTTGCTATGAACAACTAGTTCGATCATGCACACAAGGATCTTCTTCAATGAAACTAGACTAGAAGCTTGTATTTGTTTCATACATTGCTTTAAGTAACATCTGACAACATGTCTAGCAGATTCAAGGTGGAACACGTCTCATGTTGATTTCATCCAGGAGGAAAAAAGTTTGCCGAAAAAATTGATACTTCTTGTCTTCAGCTCATCAACCAATATACAAGAAGTAATTTTAAAACAGTATGCACATCTAACGGGTGGCCCAGAAAGAATTGCCCTCTCAGTATTTTTAAGAGTTCTCCTCTATTATCCCTGTGATTAAAGCTCTTTTTATCATCAAAAGATAGCGCTTGAAATTCTCTACAAAACCATATATACCCAGACCCCAAAACAGTTTTACATATATTTGAAAAAATTCGAAAACAAAAGACATGCACACCGCTGTAAAAAATAAATGTTTCCCGCAATAGATGCCCGCATTTTGCACTTCATATTTTAATCTATAAATACGTTTTATTAGAAAAATAAAATATACTACAAGATGCAGCGTAAAAAGCTCTAAAACATACACATTAAAGTTTATTTTTAATAATATACTTCTTGTTTCCAAAAAAAGGCAAAACTCTGTGCGACCAATTCTCGCCGTTGCGAAAACCGATCGCACAGATTTTGAAGTTTTTTTGAACATAAAAAGTACACAAATAAAATAAACTGTTCTTTGTAAATTGTAGAGCTTGCCAAGCTGCATCTTGTGGTATATTTTGTTTCTTTTAAAAGATACATATTAGGTGATAAAAAGATAAAATAAGAAAAAGGAATTCTCGTTGGTGTAAAAAAAATGATTTTTTCACAATGACGAAAATTGGTGTCGCAGAATTTTGCTTTTTTTCAAAACAAAAAGTACATTATTAAAATAAACTTTAGTTTGTAGGTTGTAGAGCTTTCCACGCTGCATCTTGTGGTATATTTTGTTTTTTTAATAAAATGTATTTATAGATTAAAATATGAAATGCAAAGTGTGGCCATTTATTATGGGACACCCGTTATTTTTTTTTTTTTTACAGCGGTGTGTATATCGTTTGTTTTCGAATTTTTTCAACTATATCTATAACTGTTCTGGGGTCTGGGTATATATGGTTTTGTAGAGAATTTCAAGCGCTATCTTTTGATGATAAAAAGAGCTTTAATCACATGGATAATAGAGGAGAACTCTTAAAAATACTGAGAGGGCAATTCTTTCTGGGCCACCAGTTATATTTGATATGAATAGAGGTACATCCAGTTGAACAGCTCAATGAAGATATTGAATTACAAATTCAAATTAGCGCCTTCGATTTTCAATAGTCGAAAACTGACAGTAAGCTTATAATACATGAAACGGATGAAAAAATTCAAAGGTAACTTACAGGGGCAGATTCTCATGAACAACCTCAGTATTCGTCTTTCATGATTTTTTTCTTGCTGCTCATCAGATCTATGCTTCCTATCAGTGATCCGCTTGTAGTGTCGAAAAAATACTCACCATATTTTTTACCATGAATATTTTAGGACCGAGAATTTTCACAGCACTAATGAATTTCAGCGATATTAAATACCATATCTCCAGATCCAGAGCTAGAATTATTCTGACAAACAATGAAACGATTATATGGACTATTCGTCACATGATATACCTGGCAGCTGTGAAATGCCCGGGCACGTCGCCATTTACATACCAAAGAAAGATTCCGACATAGAATAGAACGTAGGGAGTAGCATGAAGCAAAAATGTAAGTCCCCAAGACATCCACGAATGCGATTCGCTTTCACGCATGTATGTTATACGGTAAAATATTTTCTAAAAATAGAATATATTACGTAGTATATGTAAAACCGATTCTCAATTCATACTCTTCGCACATCTTCGACGAGCATAATTGAAATAGTGATGATAATGCAAATTTCTGTCCAGTGATATGTGTGCGGAATTCCATTCGCTGAATCGAATTTGAACAGCATCATATAACTGAATATCAATAATAGCCAAATATAGCAAGCCTATACTCAAACGAGATCATACAAAATACTATTGAAGTTGTAAAACAACACTTACAAAATCATAGCATATTTTCACCATAGGACATTGATGAAAATGTTTGAATTTTTTAACATAAGACGCTACGGTGCAAACAGGTGATTTTGTATAACGAGTATAATAGTTCACGCCTGCATATGACAAGTAAGAACTAAAAAAGAACCTTGTGTATGTTTCATCAGATAACAAGAAATTAATATCGTATTGGAGTTATGTGTATGTTTATAATGTCTCTTTCAAAATGATTTTTTGCTTTCAATCCCAAAGAAATAAACAAAATAAGTTGGTGTTCAAAAACTCAAAATTTACATTAATTTTTAAACTGGTACATGAAGCATGTACAATAATATTGTTCTTTTTCTAAGGCAAAAAAATCCACTTTCGATCCAATTCATCTGTTACATAACACCTGGTTCAATAAAAACGACTTCATAGACCTCACAGCATAGTAATACAAATAGTGTTGGAATATTCTAGAAAATGTCTGTGAACGTAAATGTTCACAATTAACTAGGAAGATCGAGTTTAATTCTAGCTCATCATTTGAGAAACTTACTGAAAACAGAAAAAAAATTTCAAATCTATCTTGCCTAGATGTTCTGATCGCATTCTCTAATGTTGAAATTTTGAACTGGATAATATATGGTCATGATTAAGAGATTCACTTTGAATTGAATTAAGTTTAGCGTCCAGGAATTAGTTGGCCCTTTAGAATAGCTTTATTAATTAATATCTAAGCCTTGACTTTGAGCATCAGTTACACTTTTAGTGAGAAACGACTATTATGAAACATGATGGTACAATCAATGATGGTTCAAGATTTTACTATAGCTCGGCAAATATGACTTGCTGATTGTATTTTCTTCAATGACTCAGTTTTAAGGGATCAAGAGACACAACCGATAGTGTCTAATTAATATTAGATGAGAGTGTATGTTTTTATTATGTTGGAGGCTTTCGCTAATCTACCGACAACCCCATAAACCATCCTTCAACTTGAATAGTTCTAAAATATTGTTGCCATTGTATATTAATTATCGAAGTCTCTTGATATTAAAAATGAATCTTTTTTAAGGAAAATATACCTATTGAGAATTTTATTGTGCGATGACGGAACAGATGATTGTGGATGCACTTTGTTTCGCTTGATATGATAATACAATGACACAAAATATGTTTACGATAGAATCGAATGCAATTGATTATTACCGAATTAGTGATCGTTTGATCTTCTTTTTGATAGTAGGCTTCGTCTGTATCTTCTGTAAGACGATATGAAATGAGCCATGGAGCAAGCAAACCGCATGTCAAGAGCGATACTGTCATTTTGGCAATGCCGGAAACTGAAAAACTCATTTGAGCGAGTTTGTTGAACCATATACGATTGAGTACTTGACTGAAACAATCTGTATTGATGAAGAGCGAACAATGCCATGCAATGGCCACCTAGAAATTCTCTTCATTCCAAACTCAAAGTATTACTGGATATACTGTACCTGCATACATGTCATATTACCAAATAGAGGTACTTGACGAATCATTAATTCGCAAGCCTTACGCTCGCTCTTCAAATAACAAGCATTGATGCAATCAGTAGCATAAATTTCGAAATCTTCTGCTTGCTGTCGATATAGATGGCGTTTGTCGCTAGCAGTTGTCTTGCTAGCGCGATTCTTAAGAATAGCTGTACAACAGAGTGCAGCACCAATGCGACATCGAATATGAAGAATAAGCACTTTGGCCATGCCAATATGGTCAGTAAATGCTGCCCAAAATAGAAGATCGCGAAGCATGAATTGTGTGCCTTCTTCGGCAAGCGAACCGTCCTTCAGTTTGGTCTCTATGTCTTGAGTTATGGGAAACAGTGGAGTTCCCTTAGCTACTTTTGCTGTATACGCGTAGTCAGTAATTCTTGATTGATTTGAACTTTGCTGACAACATGCCGGTTTGCACCAACATAGATGACGTTTAATGGAGCGCACAATTGTTTCAATCTCACTTTTGATTTGATCTAATAACGAATGCTGGCTAAAAAGTGGCGGCATAAAATGTCCTATCAATTTGGAATATAGAACATCCAAGTCATGAATCGATGTTGGATAAGAAAATTGGAATCCGAATTCGTCACTAGGATTCTATAAATACATCAACCATTTATTATGAAGAATTATGTGATGTCAAACAAAAGAAAATCATGGCTAAAAATGAGTTTCTTCAAGATTTTCTATTAACTCTTTTTATGTTCATACTCTTCTGCAACTGCTTTCTCGATCTATATATGAACAGAATGAAAGAAAAGATGCAATAAATCAAATAGTCTTGTTCAACTTGATTGTTTAATGTGCTTTTCTTTAGATAAATGCCATAAATTATCTTTCTGTACTTGGTATCACTAAGGAGTCATGAACGTCTTTGGCTAAAAAAAGTAAATGCAGAAGTTCAGCTTGTTGCAACCACGTGGTTTTCGATTACTCACCTAAAAACATAGATCTTCATTTTTTAACCTTTTTTCAGTGAAGAAATAGGAAAATCTTTTGAACATCACATACATCTACATCTGTTCGCATAAAAAAACAGATGATATATCTTAGTAGTCTTGTACTAAAATTCTAAGTTCATATTTTGGTTCTACAAAAACTACTAGAATCAACAGAATGCGAAGTCTGCCGATTTATTATTCCAAATATTAGTTTGGAAATCAAGTGTTGTGTAGATAAAAAGGTAATGATTTCTTTATCTACTAGTGTTTGCCTGTTTTAGGTTTTTACTTTAACTCAGTCTAAAGTGACTTCGCGAGGTTGTTCAAATAGTCAACCAATTTTATTTCAAACTTGATTATAACTCGGTTAGTCAGTTAAATACTTCAATCCTAGAACAGAATAAATCGAGAAGCTCTGTCACAATGATGTAATTCCGCATCAGCTTTCTGATCGTATATCCGTGTGAACAATCAATTTCAAGTAACGCGTCCTTTTTATGATTATTCGAAAGAGGAACATCGACCTCATCTGAAACTTTTACTGGAGATAGATCTCAAATAGATCATTTAAAGTTAATCCTAACTTAAGTTTGAACAATACCTTCCCCAAGTTATGCAAACTTTGATAGGTTTCAAAGACTCTCAAAATGAACAATGTAACGCTGATGTTTTACACCGACCTGAGTAAAACTATTGTGTTAAATTGTAATCCGATTTTCATGGTAGCTATCGAACCCATCAAACGTTATGCTAGAAACTGCACATCATCCACTTTCAGAATATATTTAGAGTAACTAGATAGAAGTTTTTCCTTTTATAGAATCCTGCTCAGTACTGAGCGATCATCAATGCTGTTATTTTTCAACACTGATCTATAATGGAAAGCATTTTTCTTACGCAATATTCGACTAAAGACATTGATAGTTTAGATGAATGATCCAAAGTGTCAATTGCGAAGATTGATTTATTGAGTATTGTCTCAAAATACTATATTCAATTTCATAATCTATCTCTGACGTAAAACGTCTCGATCACTTTAAGATCACCATTTGGTTTTACTGAATATAGCAGTATAATTGTATGAAGGCTACTAGTAGTCAAACGCGATTGTATAATACGAATGATATATTAAAAAGCTTTCTTCATGATCTTTCGCTGGAAGTGAATGATCAGATAATTCTTAAATTGTTCTCTCTTCCGAAGCACACGACAATGTTGAACTATTCGTCCGCTTATTGACATTATCAGTTCATGCATATTTTCTTTTGAAAAAATTTTGAAAAGAGGACTAACCTGAGCATTTGAACTCGTACTTTCTTTGTATAATTGAAATATCAGAGCTAGACCTCGCTTGTTAAGTTCAACTTGACTTTGATAACTCATTACAGCTTCACGACTCGATGTTGCTGTCGTGGTGCTGTTGAAGGCATCAGCATTTCTTTGGACGGGTACATTGTTTCGAGTATTAACAGAAGATGCATTTGTTTCAAGAAGATCAAGTGTCAGACGTGGATCGTAGTTAATTCGAAGGAAGAAATCGATAAAAGGTGGTCGATCGTCATCGAAAGCTTGCTTGAACAGTTTTGCCAAAAGCTCAGGTTTCTGAAAAGAAAATATAGCCATTTTTCTCTCCCACTCAAAGAAAGTATTACATTCATGTATTGCAAATCTTCGAGTAGGTGTTTTGCTTGATCAAAGCAGTCCCATTTGATTGCCAGTTCAAGTAAATGTTCATTTTGATAATCTTGACCATTCTTCTTCGGATTATGCTTCTGCTGATTTTCCTTATCTTCCTCTATTTGAGCAAAACGGGCTAATAGAAAAAAAAAGAATAATAACAAATTATTTTTATCAGGTATAATTTTGACGTGATGATTACCCTTGAAAATGGCCTGTAAGACGGTTTGCTTCATATTGAGCTCACTATTTATACGAAATACGGTCAGATACATACGGTTGCATGGATTCATGATTTCCTCGATCTGTTTTATTTGTGTCTCTCGTTCTTCTGTCGTTCTGGTACGCATTGGAAAACGCCTGAGATTATGCTCAATTTCGTGGCGTTCTGGCTTTCTGCAAAAAAAAAACAAATCTACGTTTTATCCTATAAAAGATGTGGGCTTTTGCTCAACTACGATCATGGCTCAGAGCTGGTATAAAAATGGCATGAAGTTTCGAAATAAATTTATGTTTCTCCGAATAATATTCGCACCTAGAACATATGTTTCTCGAGTTTACTATTTTGAAGATTCGCTAGACAGAATAGAATTAGCTATCTCTCTACCTCACAGTAGAAATTTTATAAATACAACTAATTTTCGTGCCAAAAACTGTAACAGTTGATGCAACCAATTTACTGATTCGTTATGTTTTTTCTACGAAATCGAACGAAAAAAGAAGTATTTCAAAAGTTCGATCATTTTATTTGCCTGACACACCATCTGAAGCAGTTTTTGGGTAAAAAACATCTACTAAATTTATCTGCTAATTGTTATTTGAATTATCAAAATGAACTGCTTTAAATCTATTTAGATTCATTTTTGGCAGAGTTGGAACTGAAGTAGTAATTTAGTCATTTTTTGAAGAAAGCCGTTTATGTTACTGTTCAAAACAAGAAATATGAATACTAAAATAAAATGCGATTCACTCGAAAGACTTAGTAAATGAATATATGAAGTACACTGTAAAAAGAAAAAGGTACTTTTTGGAACCTCAAAAAAAGGTTCGGTAGATGACAAAAAGTTTGCAAATGTGTTGAAAGTTAAAAAAAAAAAGAATAAAAAAAACCCGGAACCTTTAAAGGATCTTACCGTGTACCCAAGTGAAGATCCTTTTTTCTTCGAAACCTTTTTAGGTTCTGTACACCAAAAAAAAGTTTTGTAGGAAAGTACGAAACCTTTAGGGTTTCGTATTGAACCTCGAGGTTTGGTACTGGGTTTCCTATAAAACTATTATACTAGATGCGAAACTTTAAAGGTTTCGTACTTTCCTACAAAACCTTTTTTTGGTGTACGCAACTTAAAAAGGTTTCGAAGAAAAAAGGATCTTCACTTGGGTACACGGTAAGATCCTTTAAAGGTTCCGGGTTTTTTTTATTCTTTTTTTTTTTAACTTTCCACACATTTGCAAACTTTTTGTCATCTACCGAACCTTTTTTTGAGGTTCCAGAAAGTACCTTTTTTTTTACAGTGTAGATAAATTTGGAAGAGCGAAATCGAACAGACATTGTAGTGTTTAACTTGGGATATAAGCTATATAGAGTTTAGAATTTCACTAGCAGCACAAAAGTCCTGGTGTTTTTCTCGTAAACAAACTGAATAAAAATGATCGTATGACAAGATGAAATCTCAAGCATAAAAAAGAAGGTGATCAACGGCACTGCAACGAGCACATTTAATTAACAGTGAGTACTTCCTCGACTCGTATCACTAGCCTAATAATTATTCACGTTTTAAATCTGACTAGAGCGATAGTTGCTAATTTCATATTTGTTATGCAGTGATCGAAGTCATAGAAATAGCAATACTATATTTGGTTACATATTCATGTTTGCTTAAATATTCAAAGCATAATTATCTTTTCTTTTGCGACAATATTAGCGGTTCATACTGAACTGTTCAGTCTGTATGTGAAAGGTCATGAAGACATAGACAGAAGACAATTCATGATTATAACTAGTATTCTATGTCTATCGCTTTACAAGGTAATCGATCTTTATCCGAAGACTAGTCTTTGGTTTCTAGTTCTCGTTCAATTTGTCATTGTGGCATGACTACTACTGACAGAAAAAAATGGAATAAACAAAGCAATGCCTCAAAGATAAAGCTCAATAAAATTTCAAGACCTTCTCAAATACCTTTTGATCTTTATGTGAAGTTTTGAGACTTTCAATTCAAGAATAGATTCTAATGAGTGTTGCTGGGATTTCAAACAAAAGACTTCGTCATAAGACTGACCTGGCTGGGGTATATTCATTTTTTGCTGTGAGTTCCATCAAACTAGCAATGACATCAGCCATTTTCCCACTACCCTATGTAGACAAAGAAAAAAGGTGAACACTATTTGTTCATAAAACATTAAATACTTGAACGAAAATAACTGGACGTTTATACTCAATATCATTCAAAATTGCTATACAAGGATTGATGCCACCTTCAATCACAATGGTTACACCATAGCCTATACAGAAAATATAACGAGATCGATAGAAATATTCAAGTATGGACTCACATTTATCAATCTCACAAGCATGTGCAACTAAGTCAGACCGTTGCATTTCTTTTGGATAATTCTTATTTTTCATTGATTCTGTTT